AGCCGAAAACATACTATTTTACTCAGCTTTTAAAAACGAACGCATGTCTACCTTTTCTTAATAAATATATAACGATATTGACATGAGCTTACAGCTCAGGATGTAACACGATTTTACAAAACATTGCTTTTTATAAAAAAAAAGTGAATTTGACGTCGATAACAACCGATGGAAAGTAACGGCGAGGTCGACGATGGAGCATGCGCACCTAAATAATGCCTATTCACTGTCGCCTTGAAAAGTCCCGAGTTACAGCGTTCGGGGAATAAGTCTGCAGACAGAAATTCCACTCCCTAGCCCTTCGCCATATAAATGTGGGAGCGAAGCGAGATCGTACGCCATCAGAAAAGTTGAAACTTTCCCTGTAACAAAACAGTATTGTTTGCAAGCGGAGATGGTTAACTGGCCCAGTCCATTGCGTTATAGACCCTTTTTCGCGAAAATCTTTTGTTTTTTGCAAAGATTATGTCCTAGTCCTTAAACGCCCCTGGTTGACAAAAAGAATCAAACTATTGGTATTCAACCTTCATAGTGGCAACGTGTCGACTTTGCTGACGGTACCCACGTGTTTTCAGTTGGTTTTCATTGTGCAATAGACGCTCTTAAGAACTTTACGAGCCAACTGACTCCTTTGATCTATTCTTCGCTAAAGATATGCTGATAAGTCAAAGCGGCTAAATAATGCCTGTGTTGTGAACTGTTTACGTACATTTTACTTAACAGCTACTGAATAAAACATTTCCTTTTCTGTAATTAAATAACTATCAATAGAAAAAAACGTAAGGATTTATACTCTAATTGTCTATTTTATTTCTTAGTTGTTTTTACATTCCTTCAAGCAGTTTTTTGGAACTGTGGTATTGGTTCAGCAAATTTAAATAATAGTGTTTTATTAATTACGGTAGTGAATCGGTCAGCTTTTGAAAAGACAACTTTTCAGACTTTCTGTTCAAAACTATCAACATTCATTCATTTAAACTAAAACGCGTTTTGGTCCATGCCATTGCCAACATTTTTCGTACAACAAATTTCAAATTTACATGATCAAATGCATTTATGATTTGTAACTGGATCACCACATGTATCGACATGAAATCGCGTTAATCCGGCCAAAAAAGATATATCTATGTAATAAGAGCGAAACAGGCGCTGCGCGTTTCGCTTGCAATCAGAGCGCCGACATGAAAAGCACAACATTTTTATCGAACTTATTGTATGGACGCAAAAACATTTTTCTGACCGACTCAAGCTGGATTTGTATTAAAAAGACAGCAGTAGAGCTAGCATAACAATTATAATATTATATTGTTATTCTCTATGCGAGAACAGCAGTATCTCGCACTTTATATCGCTCTCGCACAAGTCGCGCCGCTGTTATACTAGAGCTGTAGGTGTCTATAGCAGCGCAGTACTTGCCGCGACAGCAGCTCTGTGCCTGATTGTCGTCATTCTCCTTTCTATTGTAAGTAGGATTGTCAGTCTCGCTGCATTTCTCCGTCTCGGGAGTGAGATTCGGTGTGGTCTTGAACATTCTGGAAAAACGAGACTTTCTAGCCTATAACGAGTTCTGAATAGAGTCTCTAGCTTTGTCAAGTCGATCGTATTGATATCGAGTTCTTACGTTTTCGCGTTTGTCACACAATGGAAATTAAACTTTTCCGGATCTAAATCGCGTAGGTAGATATTTTTTCAAACAATATGCTCGGAACATGGGACCTGTACAGGGCTCGAAGCATTGTTTATAAAAAACAAATATAGGTACCTACGCAATTTAGGTCCGAAAATAAAGTTTCTAGACTATTTCAAAAGTTAACCAACTTGTGAAATTTTTTAATTTTTATACTTATCTAAAGTTGGTTTCCATACGTTAGGCATTAAGCCAGTGAAAATAAAAATTATTTAAAAAACTAAAAGTTTATGTTAAATTGAACGTATTTAATTTTTATAGTGTGCACGTAAGAAACAAAGGGCGTTCAATGTCGTGCCAAACAGAGAGGACCCGATTTTATTCCTGTTTCAATATCCACAACTTACCTATAGGTACGTGTTGACATGTATAAACTTGTATATAACAGTATAAAAAATGACGGTTTAATAGATTTTTTAATATTTTAACTAAGTGGCTTAGGTGTCAAATATCTTGATATTCCCGAGATTACCTAAAAGCATCAGGTTCGAAAGCCCTAATCGTAACTAGTTACAGCACAAAACGTCAATAAGTTATATTCGTATATAAAATAGTTATACAACCATTGGTGGAAAAATCTTCACTTTTATAAGATGTGTAGATACTTCAGTATCACACAATAGGTATAACACACTGACTTTAATCAAGTTAGCCTATCAAGATACTCGGGACCATTCACAACATGATGAGCAGTAGCAGTAGAGCTCCCTGTGAAAGTGTTCGTCCACTAGAGACGTACTGCCATCTTACCTATATCTGCCGCCAAGCAGTAGGTACTTAATGTGAGCGTTACTGCATTACGGATTTAAAGGGTAAGGTTGTTGGTGAAATTACAGGCTCATAGGACTTGCAACTTCTTCTCAGGTGATGGGCGCAGTGGCAGTGCCGCTCAGGACTTTGTGATTTAAAACTCTGCAACGAGTGACAATGCAACTGTTATGTACAAGAGTGTCTTGTACATAACAGTTGCATTGTCTTAATCATCAGTACTTTTAATGTCTGCAATTAAGTCTATTCTTTGTCGAGTAGTTTGGAATGCGTTGAAAAAAACGCGCGTATTCTGTCCTTTGCCAAAGTAGGATGAATTAATGGAATAACTGACGAATCATACGTTTTGACAATGGCTTGAGCTGTATCTATAGCTAAAGTCTGTTCTAGTGCAACATATATTGAATCTATAGTCTATAATTAAATTTGGTGCGACTGCAATTTTAACAACACCTCTCAAATGCGATTCATTATGTTTAGGTCGCACTATGACTAAGTAGCATTCACTACCTGTTTCATTATCATATCAACAATAATTACATGGATTATCGTAATTTATTCCTTCACTAATTGCAGCAATGAGTTCGATCGCCGCTAATTGGCGTCTGTGCTTCCCAGTCGTGTTCCGCCCATGGCGCGATTACAACCATCGGTTCCGCCATGTATACCATGCCCTCCGACCAATCGAAACCCAACTCTGACTGTACCATTTAAGGGCTATGTTGCCGATACCATTATTGTGGTAGGTCGACGCAAGCGTGCGGGGGTGGAGTGAGACGCGGCGGGGGTGGGGCACCTCTCCCTTCGCCCCGCCCGTTTGTTCGTCGACCAATCGCCGCACGGCTTCCGAACGACCTCACCTTGCTCGCACGTCCCAACGGATCCTTTTATTTTTTTCAATAAAGTATAAAGACGTTTGTGTAGTTGAGTTGCAACTTGCATTGTTACAATGATCGAAACGGTGTTGCTAATCTATAGACTGTTAAGTTAATCGTTAAATGTTTTTTGAAGGACCTGTGTCGTATCTAATATTCAATAACTATATAATTTACTTGTTCATCGGATAATTATCGAAATGGGGTATCTCAATGAATATTGATGTTTGTAATTAGATTTTTAATAATTCATTATACAAATAAAAGTCGCCGTTGCAAAGTCACGTTTTGTGTTGAAAGCATCCTCAAGCCCTCACCCCTCGACTTTAAAACCAATAAGACGCGAGGGTTCCGAATACGCCCTTAGATTCGAAACGCCCTACATGTATTCAGGTTTAATGCATTTTCGACTTTACTGCTTGGTTTTTGAAGTAGAGGTTGTTTGATATACCTGGTCAAATTAAGCGTTGGGAGCGAGACCCTGTAATAAAATATACGGTTTTATATTGGAAAATGGACCGTACAGCGGTAATGACTTTGTCGCCCGGCTGTTTTATAAAAAAAAAACACCAAGGTTTCCCGTTGCGAAATAAAATTTTTAAAGCAAACAATGCCGTGTGCTTGTTTGCATTGAATACTTTGATAGGCGTCTGCTGTTTGTTTCAAAAAAAACATTCAGTACCTATTACAAAGTTATGTCTTACGCTTACGTGTACTAGTAATTGGAATGCGATACAAAGTAGTAATATAACTAATTATGTACCTACTAATTACGCACATAGATACCTGCTTAACTACTTAACCAGTTTGCTAGTAACATTAAATCCAATGAAGTTACTTTACTACGTGGAACGTCCCAGCGCTGGTCACAATCAAGTGCAATGTGTGTTTGAGATTTTACACATCTTGGTGAACTTTACCAGTATACATTTTTATGAAACTTGTACCTAGATACAAGTTTCATAACAATGTTTTTTTCCGTCAATAAAACAAACAAACTACTCTGGTAGCTATACCTATGTAGCTATTTTTATGGGCCTGTATATTGTTTTTTGTCAGTTGCATGTTAAGCGAAAATGCATGTGTAGATGTTGACCACGTGTAACGGTTGTTATGTGCACGCAAGTCGCGGCTATGGCGGGCGCGGGCGCGGCTCAAAGTCGCGCTGCGATCGGGGAGATACGCGCGACAGCTGTGCGACGTCGCCCCGGTACCGATGCCGGCCGGCGGCAGGTGCGCCGCGCCCGCGACCGGCACCCGAACTCTGCAAAGATACAAATATTTGGCTTTTCTGATACTGGTTTTTTAATATTTCTTTTACATCCATTGTATCCAGGTGTATATTAGGCGTTTTTGCATTATTATGGTTCAGTAAATGGGCCTTTTGAACACAATTTCAACAAATACTTAGGTAGATTTTCGTAATAATTTCACCTGGTGTTTTTTTTTGAAACTTTTAGCATTTTACACGATCGGATCGGTTAGCCCTTTTCCGTTGCAATTATCGCAAACCATTTGCGCACTTATGCGCAGGCAGTGCACCCCTTGCGTTACCGCCGCTGCACGCTATGCTCCACGGTCAGTCGCGCCAGGCCAGCGCTGCCACACGCTCGCTCCTGCCTCCTTAAAAACATAGTTAAATAACCGTCCACCTGTCTCTCTCTTTCCAGAACAAAGTGGAGTACTACGTCAAATGGAAAGGGTGGAAGCCGAAGCACAACACGTGGGAGCCGGAGGAAAACATACTCGACCCTCGACTGATCCAGAGCTTCGAGCGTGGCGAAGACCTGCGGCGGCAAGGGCGCAAGCGCGAACGGGAGCACTCGCCCGTGGAGCGCGCGCGCAGCGGCTCCGAAGAGCGCCACCACGGCAAGCGCAAGGCCGAGGTGCTGTCGCGCGAATCCGGCAAGATTGGCGTCACCATCACTATGAGCCCGCCGTCGAAGCGACACGACTGCAAACTGAACGGCAGTAGAACGCCGCAGGCCGCTGTGCCACCATCGCTGCCCGCAGCGGCACCGCCGGGCGGCGGTGCACCTGCGCCTGCTTCACCCGCTGCAGAGGCCGCTGCACCGCGAACAGGACCTAGACGAGCTCCAAACTCTCCGGAAGAGGCTGACGCACACACGCCACCTGAACGCGAACGACGTACCGAAACTCAGCCCACGGCCACGGCCCCCGCGGAGCCGAAAGGCGCGCAGCCGCCACCACCGGCGCCGCAGCCAGAAGATGAAGACTCGTGGGGCGAAGCACCCTTAGCAGTGCCACCTCCGCCCCCACCTCGGCCAGTGCGCCGAGGCGCCTCCTTCTGGATATCACGATCGCCAGTGGCAGACCAAATCTTCATTACCGACGTCACTGTGAACCTACAAACGGTGACCATTCGCGAGTGCCGCACCGAAAAGGGGTTCTTCAGGTCTCGTGACTCCCGGCCCTTAGACGTCACGTAAATAATCGTGCCAAAAAACATTTAGTGACAGACTTGTATATACTTTAGGTAGCTAGTATTTATTATTTAATTTCTGTACGTTATTACTGGGAGTGCATTACTACTTCTAGGCCTAAACAAGCGAAGATATCTAGTGAAGTACCTTCCTAGTGGATTTTATTGAAAGTTTTGGAGTTTATTCATTAGATTGGGATTTTTGTATTTCGTCATAAGTGATTATGACAAAATAATGAACATTTACTGCAATTGCCAGGTACCTGCTTAACCACAGACTCACATTTTTTTAAGCAACCGACCTTCTGCACTGCTCACCGTTGCGTTCTGTTTGACAAAGACCAACTATACCTACGGTAAAAAATACAGCTGCTGGCTCAGGTTTTGTGTAATTCTGGTGGTGAGTAAGTAAGTACCTGGTGTTGAATATTTAAGGGATCAACATAATATTTTTGTCGTTATTGAGTAATTCGCAATAATCTACTGATGTTTATATATGATTAATAAGCAGTTCCGTACTTAAGTAATTACCTACATTTAATTAATTATTATACCAACAATTGTACAAACTACCTTTAAATAAATCCTAAGCAAGGAAAGTCCGACCCTCTTCCATTGAAATAGTAGTTTGAACTTTTATAACATTAGAATCTCTTAGATACAATCAATTTTTCACATGAATTGTGTTAATGATACTATGTTCCGTTTTTAATTTTGTTTTTCATTGTTGTTGTTATTTATGTCGACTTAATTTTAGTGTTCAGTGATCGTGATGTATGATTTTATTATAGTTTTAAGTTATTTATCTTCGCCTAAAATAATAATATAGCTCTAAACTGCGCGTCTTAGACGAAGTCTATCCAATTAAGATATTATTAAGTACTAAGAGTAAGGAGTATATGGCGGAAGTAGCCAGCGAAATTAGGTTGCATTTTATTGCAAAATTTGCTTTCTAGGGATATTTTCCATAATATCTTCGCCAGAGCTTTGCTAAGATTGTTGTATTATCATCATAGACGAATAATTCCAGAGGTCTTATAATCGCGATACAAGACAACGTAGTCGGGTACTAGTACATATTGGTACGCCAGATGTCGCGACGAGTACCAAATAGCTATTTTTGTAACTAATTTGTTTTACATTGACAAGCTGCAATTTATCAAAGCTACTCTAATTTCCAGTGTTAACAAACAAATGAACTTGATGGCGCTTATTGCGTAGATGTATATGGATTGTGCCGGCTGTTGTTTTTTGTTTAGGACATCGAGTATATAACCAAAAATAGAGCTGAAATAAAGGCCATTCATCCCTGGCAACTCATCAGGCAAATGGGACTTACGTCACTTTTAAATATCAATTCTTGTTTGCGCTGAAATCACAAATAAGAAAACTGAAATGATGAAGCGCCAACAACTGACGTGTGTGTACGGCTCCGTATATTCCAAAAATATTCTGTATTTATTGTAATAAAGGTAATATCTCTAACAGTGGGGGCTGTTCCATTCTTTGGTGTGGGAAAAACAGCAAAACATTACAAAACAACGGAATCACATTTCATCGGTAATTAAATATTAAATATGTAATTTTGCAATTTACGTCTATTCTAGCAAAGCTCGAGTTAAAGTGATCGATTTGAAACGAATCAATTGAAAACACCCGTCAATAGTTTCGAATTCGGCTGGCCAATCAGAGAGCAATTATCACAGTAATGTTTTGGCAGAATAGATTTCAAACAAATTGAATGACATTTCGTCTCTATTTCTGGTTATATACTATGGTTTATGATTAGCGCCATCTTGATACGCATATTTGTCAATGTTCAGAAAATAATTTTAGCTCGTGATCAATTATTTGAATAATATTAGAAGGAAAAGAAACTGACTTCTTACATTTCATATTAAAGAGGAATTAATTGATAATTACGGCGATTTACATAATTTATACTACTTCCAGGCTATTGATCAGAGATCAGTATGGAGACTAGCAATCCTCTTGAGTTTATTGGTCAATGATTATCATCATGAACGCTAAGGGATGCAAAGGGATTTACTTTTTGCCCTCTAATCGTCTTATAAGTCAGTTTGAAGTTTTAATCTATCAATATTTATTTTATTCATCATGTTACGAGGTTTTTACTACCATGATATTCTTATATTATTTGTGAAAATACTCCATTCGTTTGTTATTGTATTATTGATACAAAGATAAAAAAAAATACCTTCGGTCCGATTGGACCCGAACCAGGGTCTAGTCCCGTTCTCCGTCCAACATCTGTCCAAAATTATTACTATCAAATTAGTAATCCTCGACCAAATTTAAAGACGCATGATGCGAATGAAGCTTCATACTTGGTATTGTCTTTTGATTTGGTCGAGTATCACTTAATTGACAGTTATTTAAGACAGATTTCGGACGGAGAACGAGAGTAGACCCTCAGAGTCTGTTGCCTCACCGTCGCTATCGCTCTTAACAACTGATTGGTTGGTTTACTTACCAATTGGTTTCTGTAAGTTCTCAAAGGTGGCGTTACGGCAAAAAAACCGTTTAACCGAATACAAAACGTTTGTTACACGTAGTGAAATTCGTAAGATCTGCCGACTCGATCTGTAGCTCAGTTGGTAAGAGTGATAACACGGTAAGGCAACAGACACTGATCCGTGTCCACTTGGATCGAAGGAATTTTTCTTTGTGTTTTTACGATCTTTGTATTAATAATAATTTTAACCTAACAATTTTCGAAACTCATCCTACACTACAGAAATACCTGTAATCTCAGTAGTTCAGTTCCTATGTACTACCAAACTGGAGTGAAGGCTTAAAGCTTAGAATATCAAGACAATTATTGGTGGTCTACTTTCGTTCTCCGTCCGACATCCGTCCGAAACAATTACTGTCAAATAAGTAATACTCGACCAAATCTTAAGACGCAGCGTCGTTTAATTTGATCGAGTATTACTTATTTGACTGTATTTGTTTTAGAAAACGGGGGTAGACCCTCAGACACGACACCAAGACCGGGGTTAACCTCGACTCGTTCTTGTATTGGGCAACACTAGGCTCAGAAATTCGGTTATAAATTAATGTTATATTTAGAATTTTACAAAGTCAATTTTAATGCACTTAAGAGTTTATTTATTGGAACCGAAAACAAAAGCGAAATGCCCGCTGAAATCAAATGCATACATAACCTAATGTATATTATGTTTTGGAACGTGTACCTATTGAAAATTTATTACTTTGGATGTGAAAATATGTATAATAGGTTAGTTTTGCCACTTAGATCATTTTGACGCTAACTGCTTATCAAATGATGAAGTCACTGCACTTATTAACGCGGAATTGGCTTGAGCTGGCCAGAAAAAGCTTTATATCCACGCAATAAGTGCGTTTTGCTTTCATTCGGACTGTAACGACGCGACATTTAGATTCTTCTGGCTGGCTTAATGCGGTCCCGTATATATTAGCTACAACACGAGTTACGGGATATTTGCTTTGATATATTTTCCTTCGTGAAAAACTTCGTCCAGAGTCGTACTGCCACCTTACCTATTTCTGCCACCAAGCAGTAATGTGAGCATTACTGCGTTCTGGTTTCAAAGGGTAAGGTGCTGGTGAAATTACAGGCACATGGGGCTTATCAACTTATGTCTTAGGGTGTGTCGGACGCAGTGGCAGTGCCCTTCAGATCTTTATGATTTAAAGCTCTGGGTGGCCCTGCAACTGTTATAGATAGGCGTGTCGCGTACCACCAGGCGCACGACTTGTTCGTCATGTCCTTTAATATTATAAAAGAAAATTCCAAATCATTTTTAGCAAAATATCTCTTAACTATCTACTATCTTAATCTGTCCCAAATATACTATGTCTGTGGTCCCAAATTAATTTGGCAAATTTGTGATTACGTACATTATTATAATATCCACTGACTTACCTATGGGTCCATTTCAATATTGTATTTGAAACGTTGTTTAAGTGTAACAGAGAATGGATCCAACTGAAGCGAAGAAACGTTTAAGCGTCAAGTGTTAATTCGTTTCTATATTTCGTGATTGTTTTATATGATGAACTGATTGTTTAAATTGAATTATAATAAATTTAATACATTTTAAGTTAGTACTGTCTAGTTCGACTATACTCGTGGAAATTGTATCTTGGTTATATATCTTCCCAGAAATACTGTAACACTAATTAAGTATCACCGGATTCCTTTGACAATTTAATGTCACAGGATTTCTGTCTGTAAGAGCCAGGACAAATCGGTGGGCGAAAAGGAAGGAAAAGATATAAATTACAGTGTTCTTCAGAGCGACCTGAAAGCATCGCGTCCCATTTCTCTCTGCGTCTCAGAGCATTAAAATTTATGCCTTATTTAAATTGTAATACCATAAATGTACATTGATAAATTTAATGTTATCTGCCTTGCCGTCCACTGGTTTGCACTAGCCTTAAATGTCCCGGAATTCTTTTAATGAGACACAGAACTCCGTACCAATTTCGACAGAAATAGACGAACTAGCTGTTAGTATTATAAAGGAATTCCGAACGCTATTGTGTTCCTGTAATAATTTTAATTGTTATTTTTGGTTCCTTTAGTAAATGTGGTACGATTAAGATTTGGTTTATCATACAAGTTGTATGTTTAAGCGTGCATTTCTTTAATGAATACATTGTAAATAGTGTAAATATATAGCTGTATGTAATAGATCACTCGTTTTATAATGTGATAGTGTTCTCACATTGTAGTATGTAAATAAATGAGAATGAATTAGAGACCTGGCTATTTTTTAAATTTTAAACCTACAATGCGGCTACTTACGGCTTTCTCATCCTTAGCCCCAGTATCTGATATTTTTGTCGTAACTAAGTAAAAAAGCCTTCATTCCCATGAGTACCACCGAATAGTACCACTGGTGGTAATAGTGGACTGTAGTCCCTACTAGCACCACCATCCGTAATGATGTTAGAATATTTTGCACCATTATTACGATGGTACTGAGCTTTCAAAAAACATAATGCACCTCTGTACTAGCCATTGTCTTAGGCCCAGTTCAAACGACAAGCATTAGACGCGCAAACACATGAACTGGCTCTTGAATACGTGAGTTAATCTGGCTGAGGCGTCACTCGCAGGTAATTCACAGAAAGCAGAGAGCTGTGAGCGTGTTCCCTAAAAAATAAGTATGTCCATACTTTTAGTACTATAACAAAACTGAGATATGGTCTATAAATCCAACAGTTGTAGTTTACCTTTAAATTAAATACTCGTAGGTACTTACTTTCAAACTTAATGCAATTTTTTTCAACAAAATAGAACATTATCAATAGGCGGATAAGTTTTAATTCTGGAAGAAAGAATTCACCAAAAGAAGCGAAAAATAAGTTTTTAATTCATGAAAAACCCCTGAATTGTATTGTTTCAACATAAAAACGCGATTCTATGTCGCATGTCGCGCCCTATCGTGCTAGCGCAGCTGGTGTGTCGTAAAGGTGTAGGTATTCCATCACTATAATGCCATACCACACCAAATCTTTACAAAATCCGTCAAAAACGATTACTTATAGGCTTGAACGTGTGTTGAACGTTGGTTGGCATAGCGTCTGACATGGTTTGCTGCAATACGTTGGTTCGTATCCAGGCGGTTTGAAGGAATTTTTTCTGAGTGTTTGAGCTTAAACATTTTTACGACAGACATCTTTTTCAATATTTGTTACTCAAAATCAAGGAAAAATACAACTTTTTTAAGGTTGTGCATAACATATTTGTGGTGTGTTACAATTACGTACCTAGTTAGGGTACTACAGTCACTAGTGATTTTTAAAAACGTTTATTAAATGGTTAGCTTCTCCTAGAACAGCCTAAATGTAGAAATTGTTCTAAAAAAGTACTTCAAAAATAAGCAAAACCTTTTCGATTCGAAGCTTACAAAAAGTTTTGCCCCAGGATAAATACTGCTAAATTAGGTATTTTAAGCATTTAACTTTTCCAGAAGAACATAATTTATGGTTCCACTGTAAAAACTCGGACTCTCTAGTCACCTATCCAGCCACTACTAACTGTTGGGAAATTAACCGAAAAATTTCAAATAGTGAAAATTTTCCGGAAAAATTCCCGAAAAATTGAAAAAAATTTAAAAATTCGTAAAATATAAATTCGAAGGTCGTATTATGTTCTATGTTTAAAAATATCTTTTGAAGTTTTATTTAGCGTGAATTATAAACTTGTACCTATAGCTAAAAGCCACAAAGAAATATACAAGATTTAAGATTTCACGACAGCAAAAAAAAAACCTATAAAATAGCTCTATCGTTTTCGTTCAGTAACTTCAACTTTTGACAGGTGCCAACAGCAAATGTGGAAAGTTCTTAAAGTATGGAAAAAAATAAAGTTATAGGAAAATATACGGAAAATATTTATTTTTCTGATAGATATGATTTTTCAAAATGGAAACTTTTCCATGACCCAACACTACACGCGCTCGCGGCGACTGTCACTGTCAAAGCTAGCGATTTGTCATGTACGCTTGCTATTTGGTAATAACTTAGATGCTATACCTCGATTGGTCACGGTTAAAGGTGTGGAGGTTAACACACGTGCCCGAACTGATATTCGCTTTGCCATTATTTTCTCACTGAGAGTTTAAAATTGTGTTGAGTTTTGTGTAGGTGGTGGTTAAAAAATTAGCGTAGAGCTAAGTTCCTTTTATGTTCAGCGATCCCAATGATGAGGCGGAGCCCCCTGATAGTGGGCCTCGGTCTTTGTCTATCTCTCCGTCCGTTAGCTCCATGGAGATTAATATTAGCACTCAAAAGAGTAAACGCCATACAAGCGCGGACATTGACAGCTCCGCTAAAAAGACCAGGCTCTACTGCTCTACTACTACTAGTAGCTCTGCTACTACCAGGCTCAGGCCATCAGTACAACATACGTACACCTTGGAGGGATACGAAACTAACTCTAGTCTGAAATACACGGACAACGATGCTGGCCCCTTTCTCGTCCTCGTCAGTCGTACAGAGAACGACTCCTCCGCTACCACAAGCTCAATGCGTGCTCTAAAAATCGCCCAAACCATCTACAACAGTAAATCCTCGGGAATTTTAGAAATAAAAGTATCGGTAGAGATAAAGTAGCAATTTATTTCCAGACACCTCAGGATGCAAACAAATTTGTTGAGAGCCCTTTCCTTAGCACTCAAAAACATAACTCAACTTCATGTACCTACCAAAAAAGAATAATGTACCAGGACTTGGCTGTATGGTGTAAAACCTTTGCCTTTTCCTTTATGGAAAGAAAAAAAAATAAAAAAAAGTAGTTCACTAAGTAGTCTGTGGCTCCTATTCGGTATCTATGCTGTGGCTATACCTCTCTTCTATCCCTACCTATCTCAACACGTAAACAAATCGATGGACCGCCCGAGTTGCGCGAAACGCGATGGATCCGTTGTTCACTGAATAATCTAACGACCAGTCGAGAAACTTTTTATCATTTCGACGCTCAAGTCGAATGTTGTACCGGTGTGTGTGATAAACAACCGTGTGGCGCGATGGAGTGGTCAAAAGACAAAACATTGAAACTTGTTGAGTTGCTTCAAGTGAACGCTAGCCTCTGGAACCCATCACTGTGCGACACACGCAGAGACAAACAGAAGCGCAAAGAAGAATTACGGGGCATATCCGACATTCTTGGAATATCAGTTCCAGACGTTACAAAAAAAATACAACACCTAAGGACTCAGTATAACAGAGAATCCGCGAGGGAAACAAGGGTCAATGCCGAGGATCCCAACGACAGATATGTGAGCAACTGGTACGCGTTTGAATATCTACACTTCATGAAGGATTCTAGTAAACCATACAGAGTTATACAACCGGTAAGTAGAACGATACCATTATCCTTCCAAACACATTAAAAAAAATCACTAATTCGATAAATTTTATGTTGATTAAGCAAGTATTCAAATTAAAATATCCTAATTAATTAGCAGATAAGATATGCTCAATAAGCACATCAATTTGCCTGAAATTACATAATTATGGCCTAGTACAGGTCAGATCCTTTTGGAGATAAAATTATAGTTTCTAATGAATATCTAAGACCTGGCAATTGTTTTGTTTAATGCATTTTTAGCAGAAAAAAGAGCTAATAATGTGCACTCCCTATTGAATGGTATCCTTGATTTATTTAGCCTCTCTAAATTTTATGCAACTTAATCCCTTCTTTTACATGTATAAAACAAAATTAGAATTTAAAGTTAATATATACTTATAGAATTGTAAAGCAAATATTTTTATGATTTTAGGACGAACAGTCTGAAGTCAGTAGCAATTTATCAACTCATACGCACAACCCTATTGTAGATTGCAAACTACTCAATCTGTCACCAGTTCATAAAGTGCCACGTATTGAATCTACCCCGCCAGTGAAGTCAGAATTCAACCAACAAACTACACCACATAGCAGGGATGAGTTCACAGTCTTTGGTGAATACATAGCCAATGAACTAAGATCTTTGAAAGGAGAAAAAAACCTATTGGTTGCAAAGAAAAAGATACAAGATGTCATATTTGAAGTGAAAATGGGCATGATTTGTGAACCACGGACTGAGAATGCTACAACAGTATACACTCACAATGGTAGTAATTTGCAAATCGGAAAGATTTATAGTACACCAGCTGTGATGAGCACTGCTACTCATATGGAGCCTTTGAATACAAGTCAAACACCTCCAACATCAGGGATAAGTGAAATTATTATTAATGGTGCCTGCCACTATACTAATTTCAAAGTTGACTCTCAATAGCAATGCCATCCACTTCCTAATGAGGAAGTGGACAAAGGTGAACCTTATACTTTAAGAAATTAAGTCTAAATATATAAGAGGACTTTACTTACTTACTTTACTAGACTCCCATATCAAAGCTCTACCAAAGCTCTATTAACAATCATACTAAGGTAACTCCAACCATATTAATTACCTGTCTGCCAATTTCAAATTGCATTTCATTCAAGTTGTTTATTACCATGAACACAATTTTATTGTAAAGAAAAGTTACTCGGAGCTTTTTGTTACACTCTGTAGAGCCACATACAGGTGTTATACCAATTAAATGCACAATAGTGTCAAAAAATAATTTCATATTGAAATTCTTTATTCTGGGTGATATGATATTTATGTAGATTTACTTTTTATGTAAGACTACATGAGAGAAAATAAAAAAATATGTACTTTTGATTCTCTTGGTGACCCTTAGTTTGCATTGTAGGGTGCTAGATGAGCAGATCCAGGGTTAGATTCTCAGTAGAATCAATTTAAAAACGAATTTTTCTAAATTGATCTTGGTTGCGATATTCTGGCTAATATCGATGGTTCCTATGTACTTGTAAATAAGAGCCAAACTAACAATTCGATGATGAAGGAAATCTTGACAATATACCAGATTGAAAGTTTGGAAGCCGCTCCTGTAAAATTGTGATTTTGCGTTTTGGCCCTTATACATAATACCCATTGATATAATGACGGAGTGAATTTTATTGGTCTAGTACTAATTGAAACTATCAGTGCAAAAGTAGTGTAACCCACTCATATTTTTCTACAACGATATTGCTTTAGATGATACTTACTTAGTACATAATTATTTTATATAATAATTCCTGTATAACAAAATTTAATAATGAATACTTTTTTTTAAACATGAAAATAACATCCAATTATAGAATAACTACATACTTTAGAATCATTTAAAGTAAAAAAATTAATGTAGGTTTTACACCACTTTTGCGCTGATAGCCTCCATTGTTCAGGGAATTTCCTAGTTTGCGATCAAGCAATGGCTGTGGTTGTCTGGCAACAAAAAAGAAAACGAAATAGAATTAATGTTTGAATTTTCATGGCTATTTTACAACAAAAATAATGTTTTTGTTAGACAAAAGGAAATCAGGATCGGATCCCTTTCATTCTCATACTTTGTATTGACTGCCCGGTATTTATATTATCTAAATAAAGATAAATGTTAACTGCATTTAAAAAGTAACTATATTGGTGTATTTTGTAAGTCAATGGTATATTGCAAATAATTTATTCTAGATAAGTAGATATCTTACATGTTACGAAATGTTATAAATGAGATGTTTTTTCCTACTTGGTGTAACGGGCTGGTGTCCGCAACTCGACGTCAAGGCGCCTATTTTGCGTGTGATGTTTTTTCCTATCTTTCTTTATTTTCTACTTACATAAATGTATAGTAATAGTTGTAATAATGAAGTACACCATATATATTAATGAAATAATCACATATTATATTTCGTGGCGAAGGCCCTGCACAAGCTGTTCCCAGTCACGTTTCGACCACTATCTCACTAGGCTGCTGAAGGACATTACGTCCCTGAAGTCGTGCCTAGCCGAATTACAATGTAAATTAGAGTCTTCGGCTAACACCATTAGTGAGTTGCGTGCCCAAGTTGCGTTATTAGTGTTGTGTGTATGTTAAAGTAAATAGGGTTATTTTTTAAATACTAACAACCTGTCAGGACTACATTACTAACATCATAAACAAGAACTTTTGTTCGATGACGTTTAATAATTCATCAGAGTTTACTTTAATACAAAAATAAATAACAGATTTAAATTAGAGATGCGCCGAGTACAAGTTTTACTGAGTAACCGAGTACCGAATACTCTGTTACCGAGTACTCGGTTTAACATTTGCCGAGCCGAGTTCTCGGCCTGGTTACTCGGTTCATTACAACCGGAACGCGATGATCCTAAAAGTCCCATTGCTCTAGAATTAGACCGATATGTTAATGAAAGGTTATTGTCGCGAGAGCGGAGTCCTTTCCAATGATGGACAGGGCATAAAACAAGATGTTTTTAAGTGCACCTGCAAGCACCGTGTGTAGCGAGCGGTTATTTTCCGAAGCGGGTAATGTGTATGAATAAAAAAGGAACAGACTATTATCTTAACGCGCAGAAAGCCTTGTATTCCTACATCATAATCAGGGATCGGAATAGGTAGAGTTTTTTCGAAGAAAATGGAGACTGCCTTACGACAATATTTTTAGGTCCAGACCTTTTCGCGATTCGGGAAATCACTTAAGAATATTAAAAATTGACGTACTTGGGGATAGGTAGGTATTATATTTATTAGGTTCTATATTTATCTTAACTTTGCTTCGCACAGTGGATCGAATCTGCGATATTGCGGACACTGGATTTTTTTTTCACGATGCCTCTTTAAAAAAATGTTAATCGAGAGATCTTATTGTACTAATTAAATATTGTCATATCACATTTTACCATACATCTAATAGTTTACTAGGAAAAAAATAAAATTTGTATTTTTTGTATGGGACCATACCTTTAGTGCCCCATCGTTACAAAGTCTTAGTCGATCCAGTCTTGGAATCACTACAATAATTATCTGAAGTAATAACAAAACATCAGTATGAGTTCGAAACAGAAGTTTTAATTTCTACCTAAGTACCTAATAAATATAATACCTATCCCCAAGCACGTCAATTTTTAATATTCTTAAGCGATTTCCCGAATCGCGAAAAGGTCTGGACCTAAAAAATATTGTCGTAAGTCAGTCTCTATTTTCTGTCTATGTTCCTCGAAGTTTAGGTAAAAATTACATATTCCGATCCTAATTTCGATCTAAATTGCTACAAATTGTTACAATTGTCTAGAATTTGTAGTAACAAATCTCTATTGATTATTTTAAATATATTGTTGGTTTTACTTTATTATGCCTATAGCTGTAATGCTTTATTTTTACCGAGTAACTCTTCTCAAAGATCGAGCTATTCGGCCGAGTACGAGTAGTAAAAAATGGCCGAATACACCGAGTACCGAGTAGCAAACGAGTTAAATAGATTGCTCTGAACGGTAATAACTCTGTGCAGGACACGAGTGGGAGTCGTCGCGGAAGACGCTTGCACGTTTGAACTTATTCTACCAAATACAGATCTAAAAATTCTCAGATAGTACAACTAAAACTTAAAAGTGTATTTTTAGTAAATTTATTATGTTTTGTCAAAAGTCAAGGAACAAAAGTTGTGGTTTATGATGTTAAAGTCCTATGCCGTTGTTAGTATTTTAAAAAGAACCCTTATATTGTATGGCTCATGTAGCCTAAATTAAATAAATAAAAATATAACTAATTATAAAAAACAAACAAACAAGTTTCTTTACTGTATTCATGAAAACAGCAAACAGTCAGATGGTCAACTAGGTAGAAATTAGTTGCCGTTACCATGTAGGCATATTAAAAAAAAAATATATATAAGTTGCTATGTTTAGGAAGTGTTCTTAATTTCGCCAATGCGTTGTCAGCCGTCTGTCTGTGACTGATTAGTGATTACGCAGGGACAGGCTGGCTGACAGTTGAATCCTGATCTTAAAGTGCTGCTTTGCGGAATAAATGGGACATGGTACGTCGCATCGGTAATTAGTACCTACCTATCCAGGTTGGCTAATACACCGCTCACCACCCTATAACTGGTTGTACAGTTCTCTCTATGTAAATATGTGTTTGTGATTTCTAGTAATTATGTAGCAGTGCAAGTTATTTTTTATTGTAAATAATATAGCACAGTATTTGTTCAAATGTTAAACTATTTACATATTATGTATGTAATGTAAGTATTTTGCATTTTTATAGATAGCATGTACATAGTTTTTTTTTAATTGTGATATTCACTGACCATTACTTTATTTTTATGTTATTGAAATATTTACTTTTGTTCACGATCTCTTACAATCATTGTTTGAAAATAAAAACTAGGTAAATGTGTATATAATACTTTTTTTTTTATTAACCTCTGAACCTTAGAGTCGTATTCTAGAACTCTATTCAATGCTCAAGTCAGGATTGCACTGGCAACACAAGCACTGGAAATACGACCCTAATGGCAGGAACTTGAGTATGATTTCGAGTGCTTTATCCATACTCAAATCCTGACTTGAGAATTGAGTAGAGTTCTAGAATACGACTCTTAGGCCTGTACTACATAGACTGCACGTCATACGCACGCTATCGTCATTTTACGCTTGCGTGCTGCATGCTTGCATCTTGCGTAGAAACAAATGTAACTGTGTCCACTGGAACGGCAACGCCGCATTTGCGTTCATCATGAAGCTCGTACGGCAGCTTGTCGTTACTCGAGCGTATTGCGAGACGCAAAGACATGTTTATTTCGCAAAATGGCGGCATCAGCGGGTAATTTGAACAATATGTGGACAGAACTAAGATGCAAAATACACCTGTCGCCATTTGCAGCTTGCATGCATTTGTCAAATGACGCTGCCGTTGACATTAAGTCTAAGTTTTAGGTTTGAAGCTTTTATCTGTCTGTGGCATCGTAGCTTCCAAACGGATGGACTCATTAAGACGCTATGGCGACGTCGCCAGCGGCGCAGGCCTGGCTACTTCTGGCATCCGAATGTCGCCAAGTCGAGTGGACATGGCGTCTCGACAGTAAGTTCGTTTACGTCGTCAGGAATGGATGTAGAAGAAATCGCACTTCTTTGTTATCTACGTCGTAGAAAAATAGGAAAAAAAAAGAAACTATGGGTTCATCCTTTTATATCAGATCGAAGCCGAAGTGGTATTTTTTTTAAACTGTATGGAGATTTACGAAAATATCCTGAAAAATTTTTCAATTACACGAGAATGTCAATAGCATCTTTTGACGAATTATTGAACTTATGTAGAAATGATTTAACTAAACAGGATACGATATTTAGAAAATCAATAAGTCCGGTAGAAAAACTATTTGTGTCATTCAGGTAAGTAGTATTTTAATCAAATTTATGAAAATGAAACCTGTCCGTTATAATGTGAAACAGCGCCTCTCGCCATCAAACGTAACAGTTTGGCGAGTTTGTAATCTAATACAAAAATTTGTATTGATTTCGTTCAGAAAAAAAAATCTAAAGTTAATCATATATATCTAAAATAGATGAATCTTCTGTAGCATTTGTCATATTTGACGGTGGTGTGGCAAACGGTGCACTAGATAATGACTCGGTGTTGTAGTCCATCATGGGTAGGGTTTCTCCGCGAACAGTAGAATATCCAGGGTGATAACTTCGTGACGGCGGCGGTTCTGTTT